CCGTGACTCGATCGACTCTAAGGAGACTTCGAATTTTGATACGATTATTATCGATAACTGCGACGTAGCAACAACAGTGATGTCGTAATTCGCCACCTAATGGCTACCTTCGTGTATTCTAATGGCTACTGGCTGCTTAACGGAATAGTTTCTCGTTATTTAAATACTTCGCTATAGCGTGTTTCATCCTTTTTTGTTTGGTAGTAAATAGTAGCGGTAGTTGTAGTAGTAATAGCAGTAGTAATTAGTAATAATAGTAAATAGTAGTGATAAGTAATAGTATTTTTTATATATAGCAGTAGTAGTAGTAATAGTAGTAGTGGTTGTAGTAGTGATAGTAGTAATAGCAGTAGTAATAAATTTATCTTTTATAGAACATTTCCGCGCCCTTGACTCTCCTTCTCTTACACGTCCTTTCTTGACCGTTTTCCTCTGGTTCTCTTTTTTTTTTTGTTAGCTAAGCTGGTAGTTTGATGCGAAATTTCTTACACGTTGCTTCTTTTATTATTTCTATATTCTTTTTTTCGGCGAGACGAGAAGATCGAATATTGTATTAAAAGCGTGTAACGTAACTCTGTGTAAATATTGTATCGATAATATCCTCTCTCTCTCTCTCTCTCTCTCTCTTCCTCTCCCCCCTCTCTCTCTCACAATCTCTCTCTTTTTCTCCCCCCTTCCCCCATCGCCCCCTCCTACTCTCTCTCCTCCTCTTTCTTCTTCTTCCTCCTCCCTCTCTCTCTCCTTCTCTCGTTCCTTCGCTTCCTATTTCAATCTTTCTTCCTGCCTCACATCATACCCTCAATCTTACGTTTCTTTCATACCGCTTTCTCTCTTTTGCACTCGCACACACTTTTTCTATCTTTCTCTCTATCTCAATCTCACTCTCTCACTCATACACAATCTCTTTTATACTGCGAATTACGGTTATCATCATTATCGACATTGTGCCTTTTAAGAGACGGGTTTAGCCGTTCATTAAAGTCACTTCTAAAATTACCTAATGAAAATCGAATTAATGTTTTTGTTTCCTTCCTTTTACGTCGGTAACTTGTCCGCTCGCTCGCTCACACTTTGTCGTCATTATCGTATTAATTAATTGCATGTCTAGAACGGCTGATATACAATCAAGAATAAGAACAAGGAGCATAAATTGATATCGGGAATTAGCGAAACAATGAACATCGAACAATGGATGTGGATATGGGGAGTAGACATCACGAGTAATGCACGCGTTTCCTTACATTCGTTCTCCAATTGATTACAAATACAAAACTACTCCCGTCGTAAATTGCGAAGGACACTCTGTGTTACACTTGGCTTCACGATCGTGTCTATTTTCTAATTAAACGCTTCCTCTAGATATTTTCCCTATTGCTCGCTTGTTACAAATCGCATTGTTGAAATTAGGACTACCTCCGTCGATTTTGTCGTTTGACAGCATCTATCTTCAGATGAGTTTTTATCGCTTGCAGCTATTCCTTTATTCTTTACTTTAACATTGTAAGCTAATTTTTTTCTCCGTTACTTCTTGCTCCTATATTTTGTTTCAGCTCTTCATTATGCATCAGCCTTAAATCGCACGTCTCATGTCTTCGGGGCTCTTTTTTTTTCCTAAACAGAACCTAGTCAACCCCTTCGGCACCAAACTAATATAATAATCTAAGTGAAACTCGTTTTTTCTTTCGTAAATTTTAATTAGCTTTTCGCTATTTTAACAAAGCTTAACTCTTGGAACATACAGCGTGTCTCGAGCCACTGCCTTCGACTCGCGGACTCCCCGGTCGATTCGAGTCGATTTTAAAAAATTGTGAAAAAGGTGGCATCCTAACATATTTCCGACGAGGGAAAGCAGATTCGGAATCGCCGAAGGAACTCGCAGATCGAAGGAAACGTGGCTGCTCCGGAAACACCCTATACACATCGACCAATGGAAATCAACTGCGCGATATACGGTGAATGAATACTAAAAGGATTCACCTGGGCTGTCTCGTTATCTTTTTATCTCTCGGCCGGTTTGAACGGTTTGACGATTAGTAATCAGCAACTTCGAAAGACGGAAACAGGACTTTGTGTTCTCCTTTCCTTTTATATTATACTCCTCTCTCCTATGTTCTCGAATTTTACGCAAGCGAATGCGACACTCCGCAACTCGGCTTTAGTTCTTGTCGAATTCCTCCTTTTCCTTCCTTCGATTCGTATCGGCACATCGAGAATCAATCGGATCAGGTCGATTTGGCTCCGCAGGCAGGATATACCTGAGGGGGGATATAATTCTTTGGCGCGACGTGTAAATCGAGAGCGGTGAAATGGCAGTCTTGGCAATTCGGTGGTGCTTCCGTCGTAATGGAAGAAGGTAAACTTCCAGACGAAGATATTCGGGGAGTCTCTCCGAGGAGATCTTTGGTACGAGGATCGATTGGCGTGGCAATTCGTTCTTCAGACGGCTTGCAAACGGCCTCCCGAACTTCACAACAACGTGTGTCTTCCTCTTCCTCTTTAC